GACATTTTGACATTTTGACATAGAACCCACAGCACATACTCTGATAAGGACTGCACTGCTTGGTAAACTGCAAAGTAGGGCTTTCAAGGCATATGCCTTAGGCGGCAGAGGGAGGTGTGGCGTGTTTTTTATCAGCTTTCTTTGATTGGTAGGCTTAATTCATGAAGGACTTTCATTAGTAATTCCATCCAGTGTTTCCAACCTTCATGATCAAGAAAATTTCCCTCTCAACCTGGGAAAACTGATTTAAAAAAAATTTTTTTTCATACATCTTGCCTTTCCTTCCATCCTTTGTGGAGGTAACATAATTGTACAACTTTAGAGTCATGTCTTATCTCTTCTTATACTAGCAGACACGTATTTAGCTCTTTTTGATGCATCTCTTTCCACACTCGTTTTTTAAATCCTTTTATCCTTGTACTTCTCTAAGTGCTAAAGTTTTCTGCATCTCAGATCCCCATGACAGAGATAAAAATCAAGAGATTGTATTCATTTTTCACCATATCCATTGGTGATTGTTTCATGTAAAGTTACTTTTAACTTTCCTGAGGGTTTTTTCTTCTCCGTAGATTTTTCATGACGTAGCATATAAAGCAAAAGAGCGAGATGATCTCCTGGCGGGGATTGATGAGTTCCTAGACCAGGTGACGGTGCTTCCTCCAGGAGAGTGGGATCCCTCCATTAGAATTGAGCCACCCAAAAACGTCCCTTCCCAGGTAATGTATGCACATCAGCCAATGTGGCTATTGTCACTTACTGACTGCCCACCATGGACAAAGCAAAGACCATGTGGGTATATGCTAAATATATCAAGATGCAGCCCTGTTTTGGTGCACCTAGAATATCAAAACAGTAATAAAAATAAATCTGGGCCGGGTGTCGTGGCTCATACCTGTAATCCCAGCTCTTTGGAATGCTGAGGCAGGTGGATCACCTGAAGTCAGGAGTTTGAGACCAGCCTGGCCAACGTGGTGAAACCCCATCTCTACTAAAATTACAAAAATTAGCTGGGTGTGGTGGTGGGTGCCTATAATCCCAGCTACTTGGGAGGCTGAGGCAGGAGAATCGCTTAAACCTGGGAGGCGGAGGTTGTAGTGAGCCGAGATGGTGCCACTGCACTCCAGCTTAGGTGACAGAGCGAGACTCCACCTCAAAAAAAAAAAAGAATTTGCGTAACATAAATTGGCTCAGGTGTGATGGGGTTAGTCAGGATTACCTGAGGATGAATTTTAAGCCAAATTTTGAAGGATTAATGTGAAATAGCAGAGAGAAGGCAGAACATTTCTTGTGACTACATTGTATACAAGTCATCAAATGAAAAAATCAAGTTGTATAAAGAGAGCAAATAGAATGTCTGATATCTTTCTGACATATTAAAGATGGGAAAGGAACTCCTACTGTATACTAGACACCAGCCAGGTGCTTTATATATGCAAATTCAGCCTTCCCGGGAACATCCCTCAAAAGATATTGCTATCTCTGGTTTTACAAAATGTGGAATAAAACTATCTTCTAGGGCAAGATTTTAAGGTAAAGTAAGATTACACAGAGGCAGATTTGAAACTGGAACTTAGGTCATATTTGATGCCAAAGCCCCCATTTTTCTCTTTCTAGGCAAGGCTTAGTTAGGAGTCAGGTACTATGGAACAGGAAGAGAAATTATGGGGTATGTGTGTGTGTGTGTGTGTGTTTCAGTAAAGTCAATAAACTGCATCAAGTCAGTAAGTGTATTTGAAAGCTACAAACACTTGGGCATTTTTGGTTGCTTTTGGGTTATCCCATTGCCACTCCTTGCTGATAGCAGGATGGAAAGATAGATGTTACCTTTACTAATTTTGTAGTCTTCTGTTAAAAGGAAAAAAGGAAAATGCCTGGAGTTCCAAATGGAAATGTTTGCCACATAGAACAGGAACCACATGGGGGTCACAGTGGGCCAGAACTTCAGCGCACTGGGCGGTAAGTCCTGGGACGTTTTACAGCAATGCTGCTTATTGGGTAGAAGTTATGTAAAGCAATGAGGCATCCTCTTTCTTTCAGCCTACTTCTCTGTAGTGGGAATTTATTGGCTGAAGAATGACATTTCAAATGGAACCACTGACTAGAAGTATTATGAAAATATCAAATATCGTATTCATTCAAGTTTCTCAAATCACCTACCATGTTTTGTCTCACCTCCAGTCCTTCCTACCATTGTTCACTCTGATTTGAACACTCTTCCCTTTCCTCATCTCCTTGCTAACTCCTACCTATCCTTAGTCTCAGTTCTTGTGTCGCTTCCTTTGGAAAGCCTTCTAGGACTCTTTCTGGATGAGGTTAGATGTTCCTGCTATGTAATGTCACAGTATTGAGCTCTGACCTCCCTTCCCCACATTACAGCCTTTATCATACTTTATTATTATTGGTTGATCTATTGTCTTTTCTGCTAGACTGTTTGTTCCCAAAGAGCAGGGGCTCCATTATATTCCTAGGACCCACCACAGTGCCCTGAACAGAGTAGGGTCTCAATATCTGCCAAATGAATGAAATGAATAAATACTTCTAGAATGATGTCTGTTCTGTAGCATGGAATGGACTAGGTATGATAAATGTTGAGTAATCATTTTAGGTTAAGAAACTCCCTTAGATTAGGAAGACAGGTACTATTTTAGGTGTGTGTGCCTCAGAATAGGCAATCTACTCTTCTAGGCCAACATTTTAAGGACAGATGTCCAAGGAGGAGGTAAGTGAGGGAAGCAGGTCCCCAGACTAGGAGGTTTTATTCCCTAGGTCAGAAGGTGGTAAACGAGAATGATATTTTGAGTTAGTGTGATATCCAGAGGTGTCCCCAGAGAAGGTTGAGACTATAGCTCTGTCTCTGTTAAGCTGTACTGTGTCTAAGAAGGTTCTGCTGGGTAGAGATTCTCAGGGTAGGACTCAGATTATGGAAAGCAGCTTTTATGTCCTCTAACCCCTTGCTTTCTTCTTTTCTGCCTCCTTGCTTGAGGTTGCTTTCCTTACTCTTCTATCCTCAGCACTCCACCCAGTGGAAACTCAGAGTTGTTTTGGAATTGTGGAAAGCATTTTATTTTTCCAATCTTGGAAATCCAGGGAGAAACCAGGAGAGGAGACAGAGAAACAGGAGAGAATGGCACTTGACTAGCAGTGTCCTGACGAGGAGCATGTTTTCTGGTAGGAAAAATGTGTTGGAGGGTAGGGGAAGATGGCTGTGCTCTGGGAGGGAGCATTGGTGGAAAGAAGGAGTGCTTGCAATGGAAGGGCCACTGAAAAGAGGGAGCAGCCTTCCCTTTTTAAAAAACATTTTCTTTAAAGTTGGGAGAGGTCTCAATTGGGTGGGGAGGCCTGGTATTGAGAGGCAGTTCAAGGGAAGCATGTGTCCTCAGAAGGGGTTCCAGGATAGAGACTCTCCTAGAGGAGGTGGTAATTTTTTCAGGAAAAGGTTTTGAGTATGGATTTGATATTTCAAAATTATAATTTATCTTTTGGATATAAAGGGTATCCATAGTTTAGGAACTTAAGAGTTTGAAAGTAGTAGAATTTAGGGCAACAAGGTTTTCCTCAAACCAGTATCTGTGCAGAGGTGAGATTTTAAGTTGCTATTGGTGCCAAAGAAAACAAATGGATTAGCGTCCCAGGCTTTGTGAGAGGGGGTCACTTATAATCAATTCCACCTGAGGGTTTGGGAGACCATTATATTGGATCTCAACAGTTATAAGATCTTGGAAATGGCATCTGATGTCCCCAAGGAAATCCCATATTGCCAGGATCATATGCTTATTCACAAACCGCAAGTATCTTAACTCACAAATTCAAATGGAGTTTGAAGGAGTTCTCCCATAATGTCATGTCAGGAACTTCTGGAACTGACAAAGCTAAAAGGAAGCTCTGGGCTCAGAGCTTAGCTCTGCTTCATATGGGAGATGCTTCCTCTTTCTGAGCTTCTGTCATTTTCCTTAGAGCCCTTAGTAAAGGGCCTCAAGCCATATGACCTTCCTCCCATTGTAGCTCCTTAGGCAAGGTGACATAATGGCTGCGAAGATCATATTTCCAGGCCAGCTCTGGGCTCTTTCTCAGTCTCAAATTATGTGGGAGGTAAATGTGAGCCTTTTTTTGCATGTGGACATCCTGTACGTTTCTGGACTGCATATTAAAACCACATTAGCCTGGGTTTTATAATCTTTTGGACTATTAGTTGTGTTTCTTTGAGATGCAAAACTGCTTTATGCATGCCATGTTGCACAATCTTGGAGCAAAACTTGAATAACATCTTGGGGAATATTATCCTTGTTGGATGGAGAAGTATTTGAAGGCAGGGTGAAGTAGACTCTAAGAAGGTGGGAAAGAAGACAAAATTGAAATGGTACTGTGAGTTCTGTATGATCTGACCCTTCAAGCCAGGGTTAAGACAGATCTTAAACCTCCCTGATATTGACTAAGGCAGGGATGCCATAAGTAACAAAGAAGAAAGTATGACTAGAGTGTTCCTAGGCCACAAGCTCCACAGCAAGGAGGGTGCTCTGGAAAGGGTCTTTTCAGGGTAGATTTCTGTCCCTTATCGGAGATGCCACTTTTGGGAAGGGTTAATGGAAAAAAGAATCAGGAGCTGCTATCTGGATGATCCCCCCACACTTCAAACAGGTTTCTTCCAAAGTATACCAGACAAATGGATAGCTGGCCTGTTTCTAAAGCCCTCCAGGGAAGGGTTCCTTAAGTCTATGCTCCAGAGCCTAGTGACCCTCTACACGGGTAAGTCCTTTCTTGCATCAAGCTTAAATTAAACTCATATCCCTGTGTGCCTCCTGCCCCAGAAAACTTGAATGTGAAGGACAGTGTTGAAAGGGAAAGGAAATCCCAAGTACAGAAAGAAGCATCCATGCCTGATGAATATCTGTTGTAGATGTGCAACCATAGTCTGATTTTATGCATGAATGAGGTATGAGGCTGACTTCATAAAGTGTTCAGAAATTATTTTATTAATTTATAGTTATACCATCCATAAGAGCTCAGATCTTTCCCTGCCTTTTAATCACTGCTAGACAGATAGATGTCTTCCCTTTTCATGGCTTCTCAGAAATCCATTTCACATAAATCTTTTGTCTGTTGCTCACAGACACTCCTCTCCTCCTGTGTCTAGGGGCTGAGTATTCATGGCAGCATCTCAGGTAGCCTCAGAGTGTGTGTGTGTGTGTGTGTGTGTATGTGTGTGTGTAGGGGGTCACTATTATACAGGGAGATTCTTCTCACAGAATTATGCTCTCCAGAGGAAGACGACTGGTAATGAAGAGGTGATAATCACATGATAATAAGATGCTATGTTAGCTAAGAACCCAGAAATACTTGAATCTTATCCCAGCTAAATTACTGCTGCCTGCAAGGTATTGAGGGGCTATTTACCTAGAGGAGAAAGCAAGACAAAGTGACACTTTATTACTAACTGAAGCATTGGCCCCAAACCCTGAGGCCTCATGATTTAGGCTAGATCATGTGTATAGCTCCTTTACCTAAGCTAAGTTTGCCAGATAGGCTAAAACTAGGGCAGATCACAAGACTGGCTTTGCTTCTCTTCCTTAAGCCCAGACCTAGATTATGATGTTACTGCTGTAAGGTGAGGAAAGGTGAACCCAACTATACCCACCAGAACCAGAGGAAAAGAGCAGGTGGGTAAGTGTCTGTCCTGTGTCCACCTGTACACCCATTGTACTAGCTAGATGAGAGAGAGTGTTCCAGGAGAAAGGGCTGGCTGGATCTTCTCCCCTGGCATACAGATCCCAGGCCTCCTCATACTCCTCTAGTCTTCTAGGTGAGAGAAGGAAAGAGAGCTCACCAAGTCTCCTTCCATAAGAGAGTAGCTTGTGTGCTTTTTTAAAGATAGCTTTTTGTTATAGAAAATTTCAAACATAAAGAAGGGAGAATAGTTTAATGATCCCCCAGGTACCCATCAACTATTATCAACATTTTGCCAATCTTGTTTCATCTGTTTCTTCCCAGTTAATTTTATTTTTATGTTTTCTAGATTATTTTAAACCAAATCACCAACATTTTACCTGTAAATGCTTCAGTATGCATCTCTTTGATTAGGACATTACAAAAATTATCATGCCATTATCAACCTAACAAAATTAGCAATCATTCTGTACATTGTCTAGTGCTCCATTCTTATTAAACCTTTCTATGATTGTGTTAGCAACATCTTTTTTAGAGTTCATTTGTTTGACATAGGAGTCAATCAAAGTTTGCATTTGGTTATTATGCTCCCATTTTGTAATAGTCCCTCTTCCTTTTTTTCTATGCCATTGATTGGTAGAAGAAACCAGGTGATTTGTGCTATAAAATGCTGAGTGGCTGTTTTTGTTATTCACCTGACAGCCCTCTCCCTGGTGCAGTTACTCCACTCTTAGAAAAAGTGATTGAATTGGGAACACATCTCCTCCTTAGTGTGGGATATCTTGGTCTTGGTCTGTCTCATCTTTGAGAAGAGGAGAAGGGCGCTGAAGTCCTGCCACCAAGTCCTGTTGATTCTACCTCCTGATTAGCTCTTGAATCCATCCACTTCTCATCCTAATCTATGTTCCATTCATCATACTACCACAGAGTGGTCCTTCCAGAATGTATGTTTGATTATGTCACTCCTCTGTTTATAGTTCTTCAGTAACTTGACATGCTATTAGGATAAAGTTTTAATTCCTTAAAACCATTTCTGGCAGGCGCTGTGGCTCACACCTGTAATCCCAGCACTTTGGGAGGCTGAGGCGGGCGGATCACAAGGTCAGGAGGTTGAGACCATCCTGGCTAACACAGTGAAACCCCGTCTCTACTAAAAATACAAAAAAATTAGCCGGGCATGGTGGCGGGCGCCCATAGTCTCAGCTACTCAGGAGACTGAGGCAGGAGAATGGTGTGAACCTGGGAGGTGGAGCTTGCAGTGAGCTGAGATTGCACCACTGCAATCCAGCCTGGGCGACAGAGTGAGACTCTGTCTCAAAAAATAATAATAATAATAATAGTAAATAAAACCATTTTTAAGGCCTTTTTGGCTTAGCTTCTCCAGCCTTGTCTATTGGCATTCACCCTTCGCACTGTATTATCCACTCACATCTCTCAGCACCTTGATCCACCAAGCACTCTCACCTTTAAGTGTCACCCATGTTGGTCCCTCTGCCTCATCTGCTTAACTCCCAGTCCCTCCCTGAAGTCATGGCTGAAATGCCCCTCCCTGCTCTATGCGACCATAGCACCCTCACAATACTGCCTGTCTCCTGCGCTAGACTTGGTCCTGAAGAGCAAGGCTGTTCATGTCTTGCTCATTGCTGCATCTCCAGTACCTGGCACAGTGCTTGGCACCAAGTATCTGCTGCTACTTGTCAATTGCATGAATGAATTATTATACACATTTGTCACAAGTAAGGGGGGTAGTTGTTCAGAGTAAGAAAGTGCATGTGATAGGGGCTTTTTATCTAGAAAACATTTAATAAAACTAGCAATTTTAATATCTTAAGTTGGTTTTGCACATTTCCTCCTAACAGCTCAGAATTTAAAGTCTGAAGCTAATACTTGCTTTCATGTTAATTTTTTTGAACTTTTTATTGAATGGATAATATGCATATCTAAATTAATTCTTTGTATGTTTAGGGTATTCATTTAAATATACCATAAGTCATACCCTTGGTTGCAAAGAGACTCTGTGCTGACCAAAGAGAGATATCTGTACTGGAGTCAAACTGAAGCCAAAGTCTTACGTCAAAACAGAGCACATTTGAAATGCTTTCAAATGTGTGCTGTTTATATGCTTTTAGGGAAGAGGGACTATGTTAGAGGCCTGTCTATTGTGTTTCCACAGGCTATTTGGGGGCTTGGTGCTGGACATCAAGCGGAAGGCCCCCTGGTACTGGAGTGACTACCGGGATGCACTCAGCTTACAGTGTTTGGCCTCCTTTCTGTTCCTGTACTGTGCCTGCATGTCACCTGTCATCACCTTTGGGGGATTGCTTGGAGAAGCCACTGAGGGACGCATAGTAAGGACTTTTAACCACTTCTAATGGTCCCAGACAAGACCTAAAATATTGTGGCGGCGGCCAAGTCCACTGTGGGGGAAATTACCTGGTCTAGGACTGAAGATTTTTCCTCTGAATTACCATGGTCTTCTGACATCATACCAAAGAGCAACACAGTCCTCTCTTTAGAACAGACTCTTCTGCTTGAGCATCGGCTTCAGTAGCTGGTTGCCTAGTTGAATTTTCTATTGTCTCAGTGATGGAAATTGGATATATTGATGCCATTTTAAAATAAGATTTAAAGTGACTCTATATGTGAGCTTGTAGTGTGAATGGTATCACTGTGCTTTCTATATATTTTCAAATACCGAATTGAGTCACTGAAGAATAGGAGTTAGTTAAGGAATCATGTGTCAATGGACCTGGGCACCTGAATTATTAAAGTAGTATCTGTTTATAGGAGTATTAGATGGTGTGTGCACATCACTCTTGCTAAGATGAAATACAAGCAAATGGCCATCAAGGCACACAGGAGAGCAAAGTCAGGAATGTAGCTAAGCCAACATTACTCTGTACTGATGGGCTATGGACTCAGTGATGGCTTTTTTTCCTCTCAGAGTGCAATTGAATCCTTGTTTGGAGCCTCCATGACTGGGATTGCTTATTCCTTGTTTGCGGGACAGGCTCTCACCATCCTGGGAAGTACTGGGCCAGTGCTTGTGTTTGAAAAGATTTTGTTCAAATTCTGCAAGTAAGACATTTGTTTTTCTGAAAACCCTAACCAGATTTAGTGATTATGTTGCCAGGATTAAATGTTGCCAGGATTAAAACTCAGTACAGACAGACAATATCATCTGGATTGGAAGAAACCTGAAAGGAGACCATAATTTGGTCTGTTGTCCTGCCCCCAGGTAGCACCATACCTAAAATAGCAGATCTCCTGTTTTTTTTTTTTTTTTTTTTTTTTTTTTTGAGATGGAGTCTCGCTCGGTTGCCCAGGCTGGAGTGCAGGTAGAGACGGGATTTCACTGTGTTAGCCAAGATGGTCTCGATCTCTTGACCTTGTGATCTGCCCGCCTTGGCCTCCCAAAGTGCTGGGATTACAGGCGTGAGCCACCGTGCCCGGCCTCAGATCTCCTATTCTTAATGAGTTTGATTAATATTCCTCAGCCATTATTGAAGTCTTGACATTTTATGTTTAAAAAGACTTTCCCTAGCTAATTCAAACTTCTCCATTTCCATTGTAAGTTAATTTTTAATTTGGCCTCATATCCCCCCGCCTTTTTTTTTTTTTTTTTTTTTTTGCTAGCGGTAGTGGGGCACACGAGTGCTGTGGTTTCCCAACTTTTCCTATATAATCTTTTCTTTTTTCCTTTTATATTTCAAGTAGCAGCTCATGGGACTAGGGCCAGCCCCCCCTTTTTTTTAACTGCAAGAATAAGATCATAATTACATTAGGTAGTAATGGCAGGAATGTATATGAGACAATTTCTTTTTTCAGTTTTCATATCCTTGCCCATATCCTGTGAGGCAAATCTGTATTATAACTGTGCCAGAGCATTATTTAGAATTAAAATACAGTCAGAATTAGGGATAAACTGGGTTCCAGTGCTGGTTTAGATGAGATGAATTAACCACATTTCTGACTCCTTGTCTCTTAATGCCATCCATCCGTGCTTTCTGATGAACTTTGGTCTTGTTTCAGAGACTATGCTCTTTCATACCTCTCCCTGCGAGCTTGTATTGGACTGTGGACCGCTTTCCTGTGTATTGTCCTTGTGGCAACTGATGCCAGTTCCCTTGTCTGCTACATTACCCGTTTCACTGAAGAAGCATTTGCCTCCCTAATTTGCATTATTTTCATCTATGAAGCAATAGAAAAACTGATTCACCTGGCAGAGACCTACCCCATCCACATGCACAGCCAGCTGGACCACCTTAGCCTCTATTAGTAAGTGTGCTTTCTGCTTATTTTTAAAAATTGAGCAAAGGGCCTGAGTTTAATTGCTGATGTAGAGTGCTAGGCAGTGCTTACAGCTTCTGGTCAAGAAGTGTCTTGCCCTTTGGGAAATGGATCTCAGATACGGACAAGGAGTATTGGAGGGCTGTCAGAGGAGAACAATCAAAAGTGTTGACAGAGAAGATCGACTAGAAGTCACACAGAGGGGACTCAAGAAATGCTTTCCAGACCATGTCTTTTGGTTCTAGGCACTGAAACAAAAATGGGCTGCAAATGTAACAGGGAGAATTTGAGTTAGTTATGGGGAGGAACTTCTTTTTGCAAGGACTTGTGAACCTCTGGACTATGTTATCAAGTGAGAGAATGGACTCTCTCCTTTGTTGAAATGAAGGACTCTCTTTCTCTGAAAGTATGTACAGGCAACTCTTAGGGATTATTAGGTGAAGATGTATTAATCATTCCTTTCAGATCCAGAAGTGTCTCACACTGTATCATAAAGATCCAGAAGCCTACTTACTTCCTAGATTTCAACTCAAGAAATTATGATTTCTTTATGTGTTCAGTATGGTTTGTATCACTTGGAAAAGAAACACGGTATCTGGCTGTGTTTTCAACCATCTAGGACACTCTGGTCGTATAAACATTTCTTCTCTGTAATAGTATTCTCCAAATTATGACTAAAGATCCTCTTCCCTTAGCTCTGTACATCAAGTTCTGGCTGTACAGTTCTGATGTGGAGGATCTGGTTGTGAAATGCACAACTTCAGTCTGAAACTATCTCAGAAGAGAGAGTACACTGTCTGGAGGCATCTGCAAACAAGCCGCAGATACACTTTCATCTATTCTAGTTATTCACTCATTAACCTTTTAAAAATCAGAATTAATAAAAAATTTACTAGAACTTTATTTTACTAGAAAGTAACAATGATTACGGAGTATCATCTTCAAAGCCTAGTGAATTGGCTCCTATTGGCATTAGAGTTCTCATTTCTGTAAGGTTCATTCTTTGACCTCTTTTTATCATTATTTTCTTTGTTTAACAAATATTTATTGAGCACTTATTATGTACCAAGCACTGTTTTA